ATGAATGTGGTAAAAGACAATTGAAGCATTAAGCTATCTCACCCAAATGTTGTTGTGATAAGGTTTGTTCAAAATGTCCTTCCTCCAAAAGAAATGAATAATGGCCGAAAAAAGGGGCATAAAAAAAGACAAAAGATTTCAACTTCAAAAGAAAAAAGTTCAAGTTTTCTAGTCTTTACACCTAACCCTTCGAAACCTTCATCCATCGGATTCTCCCCAAAGGCCAAGTATCCGGAATGAGGCCCCATCAAATGATATCAAATAGTCCTATTGGTTTTGGATATGGACTGGTTTTGTTTTAAGACTTTGATGTTATCATAATCCTCTTGTTTATATATATATTAGGTAATACGGACTGCACCGACAAGAGTCTTCCCAACCTAAATTAGTCTAAAAATGACATGATTAAGTAAGAGAGGTTAGACTTTAGACTTCCTTAAACTATTATTTATAAAAAAAAAAAATTAATTGAATTGTAAGCAACTTCCTTTGTTTTCGTAATAAGGTGACAAGTCATACTCAATAGGGTCTACATCGAAAAGGTTTGCTTTGTAATTGTAGAAAAATGATGGTCATTTGTGCAAATTTTTTACTCTAAGATTGCATATTAAAGAATGCGAGTTCTAACATAAGCGACAAAAAAAAAAAAACAAAGAGATTGGTTAGGTTGCACAACTACACATGACATTGACAGCTAAAATAGTACAAAGACACATTTTATGCACCACAATATGCGCAAGTAATTATAATGTGTACATTTAAGGGCAGAACTACGATTTTTTTTTTATGGATGTACTAGCTAAAATTTTTAGCTTAAAATCTTACCTTTGCAGTTTGAATCTGTTAAAATTTAATGACATCAACCAGATAAGCTTCAAAAATGCAATGTGCAAAAATATCAATAATTAAGTTTCACATATGTATTAGTTGTAAACACAAGAATAGAATTAGGTTAACATTATGTTTTTGAAAGCCTCTTCTCACTTGTTAGTTTCAATTACCTACTACGTCTGCAATTGTGGGTTGAAGGACTTGTGAGGATTTTTATTGAGTCCAATATTAAAAGCTTTCCCAACTTTTTTTGGGGTCAAAAAAGAATATTTCATTAAACAATGTCAAAAGAAACAGGCAGGGGAGAAGGCAAGTCTGCCTTGGTGCTAGTTGTTTTAAGGCTGGGCATGCTCGGTTAATTATGGTATAAACACTTGTTGTGGTGGATTGTGTACATGATGTGTCAATTTGTTGGTTGTAACTTGTATATATCATTTGCACGTTATTTGGAAAGTAATCAATTTTTCTTCTTTCCTTTAGAACTTAACAGGACTGATGAAAAGAGCGAAGTGAGCATGTTGAAACTTGAAGGTGGCAATAGAAGCATTCTTATGCAAAAGGTGCTTCATATATGGGAAGTAATTGTAGAGAAATGAATAATTAAGCTTAAGCATGGTTTGAAAATCTTGCGAACCTGCCTTAAAGTTCAACTTTTTATTCTTCTGGACTGTTGTAAAGTTTAGCCTCAATCGATCACAATGATCAAAAGGAATTGATTCATGTTACGTAGGATTTGTTTACATCAAGAAATTCCTCTACCTTTAAGTTTTGGGCATTTCCCTATGACTTGTTTACAGAAGATTGGAGCTCCTGCTCTTATTCCATTTTACTTTTCGTTCTTTGTAGTTTGTGCTTTCTGCCCTGCCCTCGTGGGCCTTTTCATTCGATGCTCCCATCTTTATCATCCCCTATGCAAACTTTCTATGCTTTCTAAAATGATTCTCCCCCACAAACACAAAATACCAAAAATATATATCAGCACAAAATCTACCAGAATTAATTATTAATAACTCAACCCTAAACTTTGATGTGGGTTAATCTAGACTCACTACACTACACGTGTTATAATTTGAGTAAATTTATAACATCGCGTTGATATGTTAAGCCGGATTACGAAAACGTACAAAAATTCCTTCCTCAAGGGGTAGTTCAATTGAGTATATGCAACGTCGAATAGTAAGTATATAAAGATGATTTCTTTCTATACAACGACAGGCTACAGCTGTGATCATGTGGTGTGGTCCTCCAGAACCAGATGTTTCAAAGTATCCCAGTTACAAATTCCTTGCTTTTAGTAAATCATGCCCTGTCTTGCGCATTTAAGGTGCAATGGCTCTAAAGTCTAAAGCTTAATCTATCTCCCTTCTTTCCAGGTCAAGCTTCATGCACTTGTCAACATATCCATGTGCACCACTGCAAGTTACTTTCCTTTCAAGATGTGTTTTAGAATAACATGTACATGATATCTAGCTTCCTTTGACATCAATATCAACCAGAAATTACTTAAATCATTATTATTATCTTAATAGATTAACCGCAGCAAGATTGAGTAATAATAGTACATGTAAATGTGGTTTCATTCGTTGCAATAAAACATTTTCATGACTTTCAAACGATATCTTTTTATTATAGGGCTTATAATAACTTCAGTATTATCATGGAAGCTCGATTATCGTCATTCTCTCTTTAAATTTAAACAAATGTATATATTGATTGATTGATTGAGGTCCTGTAAAGTAAAAATGTGGTTGGGAAAGTTAGCCACAAAGGTACTTAACGTTATCCAAATATGATTGTTGAAATTTTGTTAAACGTACTTGGCCATTGGCCATGGACAACCCATAATGATGGCGATTAATCCTTAAATTATAAGCCTTTTGCATCTTTGCTATGATATAATTTAGTCTAGATAGCATTGATCTAAATGATTAAAGCAAATTGCGACCTCTGAAAACCTAATTCTTTGGTTGGCAGGTCTCAACTGCAATTATTTTTTTGCCAAATTTGAATGTGGTTGTATACTAGTGAAGGCTTCATCTCCTTCCATCATCCCTTCCCTGATTTGATTTATTTATAGAAGAAAAAAAAAAAAACACTAACATCACGTGTATTTAATCGCTTATAAACTTAATGTATTTTTATACTGCGTTTAATCTCTAACTTTTTAGTGTTAGTTATATTTTGCACCTCAGAAGTATGATCCAAATTTCAAATAGCACCCTAACCTATAAAATCTTTCAATGTCAAACCTAATGTCTCCACAAATATTATTATTATTTTTTTTTGTGGGTAAAATTGTTTGCAAATAATTTGAATGTTGTGCCATGCGAGACCTAGATGGTCCATTTTTATTTTTTCACCCACATAACTTAGGCGGTTCCCAATTCTTTAGTGACATGTGAACACGTGGACGCACACATACACATTTGGAAAAATGAAATATTTTTGCTCACCAATTTAACACAAGGTGTATGCTCATCACCATTCTTAATACTTGACATGTATCCATAGGTATAACTATAGTTAACCTTTTGCTTTGATTTATGTAACCATGGTTATATTTATGGACACATGTCAAGTGTTAAGATTGGTGGTGAGCAAAAATACTCGCTTTGGGAAAATTATCTAAAGGCCTTTTGGGTAGGTCACATAAAAAGTTCCCGCCCAATTACTTAAGACCCGTGCATAAAGCCCATGAAAGATCATAAAACATTGGGCTTGATGGGCCTTAAAATAGGGCCCATCCCATTACAATTGGAACCTCTGGTTACGGCATCAACGCCCACAGTATCGTACAATCAATGTAGCTCATTAATAAGCAGTCACTTCAAGCGTGGTGCGTCACGTGAACTACTTACAGTGGCGTGGTTCTCACGCCAGAATTTAACGAAATTAAAAATTAAAAATTAGCCATTTCATTGACTTTTATGGAAGCAGCGCTTTTTATAATCCAATTGATTCGAAGCCCCATAAAAAGCGAGAATCGTCCCCATCCATCTGCTGTTTCGCACCACCAGCCACCAAAACCGAAAGTCGCTGCCTTCAATTTTCTCTCTTTAAAAAAACCCCCAAACCAGAGAGAAACTCAAACCCCACCCACCCACAAACAACGCCATGTCTGGAGGCATAGCTCGTGGTCGTCTTGCCGAGGAGCGGAAGGCCTGGCGGAAGAACCACCCTCATGTCCGTACATCTACCCATATCTTTGTTTCACCGAATTACTGCGAAATTTTTTGTATTGGGTTTTGATTTTTTTAGTTTTCTGGGTTCTAGGGTTTTGTTGCGAAGCCAGAGACTTTATCTGATGGGACGGTGAATTTGATGGTGTGGCATTGCACGATTCCTGGCAAGACCGGTGTAAGCCCTCAAACTTATTGCGACTTTGAATTTTACTGTTTTTATGTTCTTTTTATTTTTCTGGTGAATTGTTTGGATTTCTTAGTTCCAATAGAGTATTGGGTAAAGGGAGTTACTCCATTTAAGATGGGTTTTTCTCATTATTGATCCCAGGTTACTAATTTTCTTATGGAGAAGACAGGAAAACTTGCCATAACACAATCAAGGAAAAATTCTAGTGCAAAGTACCTTTTCTTAATTGACCAAATGACTGAAAAAGTTTTTTTTTTATTGCAGAAAGCTTCTCCTAGAACGCCTTAAGTTATTCACTATACTTACCTATTTGTTGTTTATTTTGCCGCATAGTTTGGTACAGTTGTCTATCAGTACCATTGATGAGGTGAATCCATGTTTGAATGTGTGGTTTCAATGCATAGTATACTAAACTCTGACAAAAGAAGAGCGTTGCTATATTTATTGTTGAGAATACAAGTGTGCAACATGATGTGTTAGTGTTACTTGCATGATTCAGATGAGATTTAGTTGGATTGAGCACTTTCATCAATTATGGGTTCATGGATTGTAATGAAAGGTTGAATGAGTTATCTTTTTATAACTCTATTTGTGAGCCAGTCTGGTCTTGACGTTTTCAAGGGTATCCATGTTTTGTGCTGATCTGGTCCGTGGAGAATGATTCATATGTTAACTTGAATGGTGTTGCCAAAAAAAAAAAAAAAAAACCAGCGCCATTTCATACTCGAAAGTTTGTTATTAC